AAGACCTTCATCCTATTCTTCCAATAATTATAATTAGTCCCATCAAAGAAAGGAGGCCTAGTGGTAGACAAACCTTCAAGTGGTTGAGAAGCTTGAAATTGAGCCATCCTTGATCAACTCCTAGGTGGTTAAACCTTTAAATTGAAGCCCTTGCTTTGATACCAATTGTTGACTTAATGTACTCCAAGAGGGGGGGTGAATTGGAGTTCCAAAAATTCTCTCTTTTTTTGCTACCACAACACCAAAATTAAAGAGAGTAGAGAAAAAGAGCTTGCTTAATGATTTTATAGAGGTTCAGTCCAACCACTTGGAGCCTAGTCCTCTACCTTGGCTTCACTCACCAAGGATTTCCTCGACACTCTCCACTAAGAAAATAAGGGTGGCTTAAAGGAGACACTCAATCCTTTTACAAGAAGATGAGTATTTCTTTTAAACCTCACCCCTTTACATATAAACCCCAAGCATCCTCTCTATAGATCACTCTTGAAGGACTAATCACACCCCCAAGATTACTCACAAATAGAACAAGAAAAGCATTACAAGTAAAGATCTCTCAAACATCAAAAACTTAAGTTAAAGCTCATGTAGGTAGGTAAAGATATTTAATGCAATGCTCTCTAAACTTGTTTCAGATCTTCTACCAACCATATTTATAACCCCATGGTCGAAAATAGCCGTTACTAGCCGTTGGGGGTCATTTAATGCTCTGCAGGACGCATGGTTTGAGTTGCAGAACTGTTAGTACAACCGGCTTAAGCTTCTAGAGTCGGCTATATACAGCCGGCTTACCATTTCTGCAGCTAGCTTTGCGGCATTTTGCACATTTTGTTTTCTCCGTAAAGCCGGCTGCAAAACGCAAAGCCAACTTTGCAGGTTTGCTGCACATTCTGTTTTCTTGGACAACTAGCTGCAAAAACGTAAAGCCGGCTTTGGTATTCCAAGTTCAAAAATATTAATTATTTTTCAAATAAGTCAACCGTTGTGTATTAAATGCATCCTTACAGCTGGCTGCAAAGTTGGGGCCGGCTTTGCGTCTTTAGCGCCTTTCTCAATTGGTCCTCGGGAAAGTGGTCAATTGGCTTCATTGAATCGCTTCTTGAAATAGAGATTATGCTTAGCTCATCGGGCTGGAATATGTATATCAATATGTTGCCCCTCCCAAACGCCCTTGTTCTTGAAGCTTTCGCTTTCCCCCCTATCTAATAAGGTAAGTTGCCCCTGCCATTGAAATCTAATCTGCAGGCACCTGCCTATGTGTCTGCCACTTGCACTCTACCATATTCATTCTGCGCTTTTGAGGCATAC